CAACAACAAGGGGGAAGAGTAAGGAGCCCTGGTAGTGCATTGGTTAAGCACCTGTCTGCTAATTGGCAGTTTGAACCCACAAGCCACTGTACAGAAGAAAAGACATGTGATCTGCTGCTATAAAGATCACAGCCTTAACAAAGGTAAATACTATTATCTATATGATCCTGAAGGAGCTCTGGTAGCATAATGGCTAAGGCACTTGACTTCTAACCAGAAGACTGGCGGTTCAAATCCACCAGCCACCTCTCAGAAGAAAGATGGGGCAATCTACTTCTGTAGAGATACTGCCTCGGAAACCCAAGGAGGGGTCGCTATGAGTCGGGTCTGACTCGACGGCACATAACAACAACAATACATGATCCTGAAATAAGTAACAACAATAGTTTTTGAGTGGATACATAGATAGACACTCAAGCTAAACAGGGGTGGGAAGGCAAATAGGACTACTCTCACAAACAAATATAGGTTTGACCGAGGATATCCCTACATACATATTCATATGTATGCTAATACGTCCATAAATACAGTAGAGCATACAAGGCACAAAGATATTAAAACTTCATAGCCATAACCAAATACCTCAAAGGAATGAGTCATATAGGGGCTCAGGTCATAGTGTTGGGAGACACTAAGATCAATTGGCATAATACAGTCCACAAAACGCAATGTTCTACATCCTACTTTGTTGAACAGCAACTGGTGCCTTAAAAGCTTGTGAGTGGGCCATCTAAAGTAAATCTTTTGGTCTTGTCTTTCCCTGTTCAGAACAAAGAAGAGTGAAGAAAATCAAAGACTCCAGGAAACAACTCATCCAAATGACTAATGGATCATGAGAACTCCAACCTCCATGATGCTAAGACAAGAACTAGATGATATGCAACTACCACTTCTGAGTACTCTGAAAGGGATCACAACAGGAAGTCCCAGAGAGAGTGGGGAAAAATGTGGAACAAAACTCAAAATCATAAAAAAGACCAGGCTTACTGCTTGATTGGAGACTGATGGAACCTCTGAGACTATGGTCCTTAGACACCCTTCAAGACTGGAACTGAGCTTACCTAATGGCTCAATGTTTTGTTGTTGTTAGGTTCCATGGAGTCATTTCTGACTCATAGTGACCCCATGCACAGCAGAACGAAACACTGCCCAATCCCATGCCATCTCCATGATCCCTGCTATATTTGAGCCCATCATCAGAGCCACCGTGTCAATCCATCTTGTTGAAGGCCTCCCCCTCTTTCGTCAACCCTCCACCCTACCAAGCATGACATCCTTCTCCAGGAAATGGTCCCTTCTCACAACATGACCAAAATAGGTGAGACTAAGTCTGGCCATTCTTGCTCCCAAGGAGCATTTCGGGTGCACTTCCTCCAGGACAGATCTGTTAGTTCTTTTAGCAGTCTATGGTACTTTCAGCATTCTTCACCAGCACCACAATTCTAAAGCATCAACTCTCCTTCGGTCTTCCTTATTCATTGCCCAACTCTCACATGCATATGAGGCGATTGGAAATATCATGGCTTGTGTCAGGCACACCTTAATCCTCAAGGAGAAATCCTTGCTCCTCAGCACTTGAAACAACAGTTCCTTAGCAGCTGACCTTCCCAGTGCTACACGTCATCTAATGTCCTCACTGCTGTTTCCATTGGCATCAATTGTAGAACCAAGTAACATGAATTCTTTGACAACTTCAATCTTCTCTCCATTTATTGTGATGCTGTTCATGGGTCCAGTTGGAAGGATTTTTGTTTTCTTTATATTGAGATGTAATCCATACTGCAGACTGTATTCTTCAACCTTCATCAGTAAGTGCCTCAAGTCATCCTACTTTCAGCAAGCAAAGTTGTATCGTCTGCATATCTCAGGTTGTTAATGATTCTTCCTCCAATCCTGATGCCACGTTTTTCTTCATATAGTCCAGCTTCTCAGATTATTTTCTCAGCATATAGATTGTATAAGTGTGGAGAAAGGATACAACCCTGACGCACTCCCTTCTTGATTTTAAACCATGTAGTGTCCCCTTGTTCTGTTCGAACGACAGCCTCCTGGTCAAGGTACAGATTCCTCATGAGTACAATCAAGTGCTCAGGAATTCCCATTCTTCTCAATGTTATCCATAATTTGTTATGATCCACACAATCAAATGCCTTTTCATAGTCAATAAAACACAAGTAAACATCTTTCTGGTATTCTTTGCCTTGAGCCAAGATCCATCTGACAACAGCTATGATATCCCTTGTTCCACGTCCTCTTCTGAATCCAGCTTGAACCTCTGGAAGTTCTCTGTCAATATACTGTTGCAACCATTTTTGAATTATCTTCATTAAGATCTTACTTGTGTGTGATATTAATGATATTGTTCTATAATTTCCACATTCTGTGGGATCACCTTTCTTTGGAATGGGTACAAATATGGATCTCTTCCAATCAGTTGGCCAGGTAGCTGTCTTCCAAATCTCTTGTCATAACCAAGTGAGTGCCTCCAATGGGGCATCTTTTGTTGAAATATCTCAATCAGTATTCCATCAATTCTCAGAGCCTTGTTCTTCACCATTTCTTTCATTTCAGCTTTGACTTCCTCCTTCAGTACCATTGGTTCTAGATCATATGCCACTTCCTGAAATGGATGAAGATTAACCAATTCTTTCTGATACAGTGACTCTGTATATTCCTGCCATCTTCTCTTGATGTTTCCTGCATCATTCAATATTTTGCCCATAGAATCTTTCAATATGGCAACTCAAGACTTAAATTTTTTCTTCAATTCTTTCAGCTTGAGAAATGCCAAGTATGTTCTTCCCTTTCGGTTTTCAAACTCCAGGTCGTCGCACATTTCATTAAAGTAATTGGTTTTGAAATCTTCTGTTCAGCTCTTTTATCTTGTCACTTCTTCCATTTGCTTTAGCTACTCTCTGCTCAAGGACAAGTTTCAGAGTCTCTTATGTCGTCCATTTTGGTCTTCTCTTCATTTCTCGTATTTTTAGTGATCTCTAGCTTTCTTCATGGATAATATTCTTGATATACTCTCACAATTCTTCTGGTTTTCAGTCGTTGGTGTTCAATGCACCAGATCTATTCTTTAGATGATCTCTGGTAGCATAGTGGCTAAGGCACTTGACTGCTAACCAGAAGGCTGGTGGTTCAAACCCACCAGCCACTCCTCGGAAGGAAGATGGGGCAATCTACTTCCATAGTGGTACTGCCTCGGAAACCCAAGGAGGGGTTGCTATGAGTCGGGTCCACCTCAACGGCACATAACAACAACAAAAAAAAAAAATTCAGGAGGGATATATTCAAGATCATATTTTGGCTCTCTTGGACTTGTTTTAATTGTCTTTAACTTCAAGTTGAACTTGCATATGAGCAGTTGATGGTCTGTTCCACAATCAGCTCCTGGACTGGTTTTGACTGAAGATATTGAGCTTTTCCACTGCCTCTTGCCACAGATGTATTCAATCTGATTCCAGTGTGTTCCATGTTTAGTCTAACAATTAATAGACAGACCTATAAGGTGAACAAGAATACATGTTTATTAGAAAAATCAACCATTCAAGATCAAAAGGGTGGCATTTGCCCAGAAATAAAACTCAGAAGGCAGTAAGGGATATGAAAAAAGGATAAAGGGAAATAGTGAACACAAGGAAGTGAGAAGAGTGTTGTTACATTGTGAAGATTACAATGAATGTCACAAAACAAAATGTGTATGAATTGTTTAGTGGAAAACCAATTTGCTCTGTAAACTTGCTCCCAAATCACAATGGAATAAAATAATTACAGCCTTGGAAACCCTATGAGACAGTTCTTCTCAGTCTTATAGGGTCTCTATGAATTGGAATTGACTCAATGGCACACAGCAAGAGAGAGAAGTTGGAAACACATATAAATAGCTTTAATGATAATAGGTACAATTTTAAGTCCTGCCATATGCCAAGAACCCTAGATACATTATTTCATTTCTTACACAAAGTCCAGAATAGGGAGTTCAGTGGGAGAAACAGGTGAAATTCTAACCCGGTTAGAGTACAATAATTTCTAACTGAGAAAATCAAAGAAGACAGAAAGGAAAAAGTAGTATTTGCATTTATCCTGAGAAATTCATTTGAATGTTTATCAAACTACCACTCATTTTCAGCATAACTCTGGGACAATCTATCTGAGGTCCTCCTCCAGTAAAGTAAAGATGATTGTCTTATGTTGATATTGTGAATATTTAATAAGCACTGAACAAAAAGTACTTTAATCATCAAACTAAGCACTGATACACATCTACCCAATGAAAGAGAAAAGAACACATCTGTAAAATTATGTGTGACAGATTGCATTTTCCAAAGATGGCTACAACAATATCTTCTATCCAATACTCTTCTTACAATGTGACTTTGACAATCCTCCCACAAGAAGTGCAGTGTATTTACCTTCCCTTTCAAATGGGGTGAGGTTTTATGGTGTTTCAAACAATCAAATATGACAGAACTCTATGTAACTTCTGAGGATAGGTCATAAAAGGCCACTCAACTTTTTTTTTTGTCCACTGAAATACTTGTTCTTGAGGAATACAGCCACATGTAGGTATTCCAACTGACCTGAAGTAACCATCTGGGAGAAAGCCCAAACTAACTAAGGCAAAGAGACCACATGGAGAAACCCTGGGATTCAATAAGAGAGAGAGATGTCAAGCCAGTCCCAGATGCTCCAGCTGCCAGAGTTCCACATCTAGCCATTGTTTGACTGCAATTCCATGAAAGACCATGAAAAAGAACTACTTGGATGGGCTCTTCCTGAATTATTGACCCTCAGAAATCATTAGAGATAATAAAGTAATTGTTGTTCTTATTTTCAGCCACTTTAATTTGGGGTATTTTGTTATCCTGCAATAGTAATTGGAACATTAAATATTATTATAAAGTAATATCTATGCTAGGTAGCATTTCTAAAACTTTAGTTAGTATACAAATTACCCGAGGATCTTGTTAAAATGCAGAATCTTGTTTACTTACCCTGGAGAAGAGCCTCAGATTCTGCATTTCTATCAACATCCCAAGTGATGCAAATGCTGCTGGTCTACTGTCCACACCTTGAGGAGCCAGATGCTAAATAACAGTTGAGATATGAATATTAAGCCTTTATCCAGGGGCATTCAGTATTATTATCTTTGACAACATGACTCAATAGCAGTCTCATACCAAGCAGAAAAGATCAGAATAGTGGGTCCATACAGCATTATAGAGTTGGTGCAGGGAAATTATGCTTAGAAGCATAAGAAGGGGGGAGAAATATCTTCAGATCATCAAGAATTTCTTTCTAGACTCAATAAGTTAATGTGATTGTTCTCCAAGATATATTATCAAATATATTGGTCTTGCTTACTTTGGACACGTTACTAGGAGGGATCAATTCTTGGAGAAGGACATCATGCTTTGTAAAGGAGAGGGTCAGCAAAAAAGAGGAATTATCCTTTTATGATTTACTCAATTCAATCACAGTGTCCTCTAGTTTCATACATTTCATACATCTGAGATGTTTCACAGATTCATTTTTGTTCTTTAACATTGCATAATATTCTGTTGTATGTATGTACCATAGTGTGTTTATTCATTCATCTGTTGATGAGCACTTGCCTCTTTTTTATAAGCTAAATAATTTCTGAGCAATTTTGCCATGTATAAGTAAATTAAGAGACTTCAGGTTACTCAATAATAATTTATCCTATCTCCTCACTCAGCCCAACTGGTCTAGACTTTCAGGTCTAATATCTGTCAATTGATAGACTTCTCCTATGCCAACTTCCATAGTGATAATGCCTCGGAAACCCAAGGAGGGGTCGCTATGAGTTGGGTCCGACTTGGCGGCACATAACAACAACAACAACATGCTAACTAGGAAATGAAAATAACAAGCTTGTTACCCATTTTCAATAGTGCTATCCATCCTGGCTAAGAATTACAGAATCATAGTTTTTTATTTGTCTGATCTACAAGTATCACTGATTTCTATATTCCTAATGACAGACTATCTCCATACTTACCAGATACCCTCCTTGCTATCCCTTGATGAACCTCCCCAGTGCTAGCCCCTTGCCTGAGCTATTACCTGCTGTCGGTCACCAGTACTCTACCTATCATCTTTTGCCTACTTAACTCTACCTTTCAACATCATTCGAAGCTGGTCTGTCTAATCTAATGCTTAAGAAGCTGGGTCCTTTGCTACACAAAAATATCGTTCTTTGATGAACGTTGTTGTTGTTGTTATGTGCCGTCGAGTTGGCCCTGACTCATAGCGACCTCTCCTTGGGTTTCCGAGGCAGTATCATACGGAAGTAGGATTGCCCAACCTTCCTTCTGAGGAGTGGCTGGTGGGTTTGA